TCCTCTTATCACAAGGCAACTTTCAGAGCTGAAAAAAGAAAATGCAGAGTTGAAGAAGCAGCTGTTGGAGCTGAGGAGAGAAACTGCCGACCTGAGAAAGCCACTTTCTCAAAGGAGGGCAAGTGAAGAAAAAAACAACACCTTCCTCTCCCATGTAGGATTTTGATAAATACTTTTGTCTTTATTTCTTTTGTGCCACAGATTTCTCCTGGACACTTTCAAACTAACGGGTAAACGTTTCTTTGCCTCAGTAGTTGATCACAAACTGTACAACATTAGACATCAGCTCTTTCTGTAATATGTTCTGCACCACAGAGCTCAGAGGGTTTCTCTGCCTGTTGCTGTCACCTCTCCAGGTACGCCCATGGATTCCCAGTGGGGTATTTTTGTTTTTTTCCCCCATAACCTTTTCAAAGTTGTTTTCAGTTTCAGTATAAATTGCTCCAATGGTTGGGTGTTTGTTTTAACAGTTACCCCTCGGTCAAGAACAACCAGGTAGGCCACTTACTTTACTGGGCACTATCCTTACAAAAAGGTCTGCATATTTTTTCATTCATTTTATGAAAGGGAACTTGTTTATTATTTAGATTTATTACACAGAAAAAATTATCTAACTTCATTTTTTTTCAAATTTCTCATGTAATGTATGTAAAATTAATTAGAAAATGTTGAAAGATTGTGCAAAATGTTGATATTGTAAACAAAACATTTGCAAAGGTTTCTCAAGCCTCACAGAGTTCTGTATCCAAGCTTATTTGTAGAAAGTTGAGTGGAAGGAAAAAGTGTGGTGTAAAGAGCATCAGCAACAGAGATATCTTTAGAGGTTTATGAGGAGGGACATCACTCCCCCCCCATAAATAATAATTAATGCACAAATTAGCTTTTTAAGATGTTGAAAGGACATTTGCCCATCTATCCTGCACATGTTCATCAAGTGACAGAAGGCCACCTTTTTCTGAAGGTGGAGGTTCAGGTCTGAATCACTACAACCAGATTCCATACACTGCAAAAAACTGAAATCTAAATAAGTTATTTTCACGTGCATTTTTTCTTGAATTGAGGAGACACTTTGCCAATGCAGCAAGACAATTTACATTTAAGATAAAAAAAAGCATTGCATTGTCTTATTTGAAGTGCATATTATCTAATTATCTTATTTTAGGAGTAAAAATATTAATTCCATTGGCAAATCATCTTATTTACCAACTGAAATTAAGACTAAATACACTTAACTTAAGAAATTGTATCTTATTCTAGATTGTTTTTGCAGTGTAAGCTATTATTAGCTGTACTTAGTCCTACACGTGGGCTACAAGCATCTTAACTGCACCTAACAAAGCTCCACGGAAATAAACAGACACAAAAAGCAACTGATACAACAACAAAACTAGAGTTTCTCCTCAAAAGGAAGCAATATCAAGTATTAGCTGTATAGAAATGAACATCTTGATATTTTTGTTTAAAATAGAATTTTCTGACACTGAATTTTATATTTTATATTAGGAGTAAGCCTTCTTAGTTACAAGAAATAAAGGCTTGAAATATTTCAACCTATAACTAAATCTATATGTTATATTCACTTTGAATTAAGTGGAAACCAAATATTGAATTTATTAAAAATATATTTAAATGTTTTGTGGTGTATCTGTGCTCTCTGTTTTAAACAGGCTCATATCAATTTATTAAAATATCACAGAAAAGTTAAAAAAATATATTTTAGTAATTCAAACCATTTTCCCTCAGGATCATTATCCTAACACGCTGCTAAAGAACACGCCTTTTACATTCTAGTGTGATTTTTGGAAAGCTGAGTGGAAGAAAAAAGTGTGTAAGAAAAATGTCCCCAAGCTAACCCCATTTCAGAGCTTCAACAGCCCCCACAGAAAGATGTGTCTGGTAGATGTTAACACTGTTATTAAAGTAACTCTAGCTTTCCTTACAGCTCAGTAGAGCAATACGTTTATATTATATTAATTTCCCTGCATTAATGCAAAAAATGCCCAGAGCAGCTATTCGGTGCATACACATAGACATCCAATGTCATGCAATATTAGATTAGATTAGATGAGCTTTATTGATCTCACAGCTGAGAAATTCACTGGTCACATATTGGCATAGTAATTAAAGAAGGTGCAAACAAGGAGGGAAAAGGTGCATTAAGAATAAACAATATATTTACAGTAGATCAAGGTATATACGGTATTTATTTCTTTTGTCTAAAAAAACTGAATTGTTTAGCTAGATGCCATTATCAATAAAACACTAAAGATTTTTGCTTTGAATTACTTTAAATAACTAATATTTTCTTCTCTTTGTAACACTTTAAAATGCATCTTGCCTCAGCCTTGTAGGGTCGGCAGAGTCTCAGCGGTGGAACAGAGATAGAGGGATCTCTCTCACTGTGTGTATTCAAAGGTTTAAACACACTTTTTTATTCTTTATTGAATTATATGCAGAAGCATTTGACTCTTTTCCTTCTATCAGACTCCTGGATCCATTGCCTCCTTGTCCAGCCACAGCCCGCTTCATGAATACAGTGAGTCCCACTGAAAATATTGATCAAAGATGACTCAATCAAATCTAATAATATCATCATCATCTATCTGTCTCTTTCTGTTAAGGGACACCGCGATCTTTGGGCACACCTACGAGGTAAGGAAAAACTTCTAGGGATCCTCTAAACTTAAAATTACAAGTGATTTCCACTTAGGCTCAATCCAAATACAGCAAATCAGTAAGGACACTTAAGGCAAAGCTGATTTGCATCATGTGGGCTGTCAGTAAAGGAAGTGGTAGGGAAAGAAAGCAGGATGTGTCCCATCAATTGTTCATTAAGCATAGGGACCTAATGACATGCCTGTCTGGTACTTAGGAGCTCTATGGATTCCCACAATCCTGTGTGTGTCAGGACGAATAGGTACACACTAATTCAGGGTTAAACAAAAATACATTGTCTTCACATGTACTGTGTATGAAATGCAAATCTACACAGGTTCACATATTATTAGTTCTTCACTTCATGTATGTGTCTTGCTTTTTGTAGTTCTTTTTGAGAGTGGGTTGTGGTCCCAATTTGACTCGTTTTGTGATTTTTATCACACAATGACATCTGTAAGAGTGAAGGCTTCCCAGGTTTGGCACAGCGGTCCGGACTTCTTGTACCCACAGTTGTGTTCTTCATGTTGACCCAATGAAAGGTAAAGGGGGGAGGAAAAAGCTAAGGCCTTTAATTTGCTGCATACAGATAGACCATAGCTTCCACCTCCTTTTTGTTCCCCTTCTGTGGGGTGAACAGTAAAAACAATATCCAGGATTGGAAAGAAACTCCTGACTGCTGCCTTACTAACATCATGTAACGGAAACACACAAGGATGAGTTTGTCAAAGCAAGGACTATAAACCTCATTCACATTGGGAGGTCCCCACTTGTCTAGTTTAAAAAAAAGAAGAGAGAAGGGGAATGGTGGAATGTTCTTTTTTTTTTGGAAGCATACATAGCGTAATTAATATAGTCTATTAACTTAAAGTAATATGCATGGTATGGTTGTTACACGTCAGGTACGCCGGTCATTGACCTTGACCAAGGCACCTTACATAGCCATCACTGCCCCTACATAGTTATGGACAAATTTCCAACTGGGATCCGCTTCATAGCATGGTAGGCCACTTCTTAGATTTTATTTATTTTGCTCAGGCTACTCCTAAGCCCACAGCCCGCCAAATGATGAAAGGGCAATATTATTGTCATTACTGTTAATATATGTTAGAACTTTTATACAATCAGTAATAAAATGTCACAAAGGATGGTAAGGTGGGGGTAACACTTTAGAAGGGGGATGCCACCCCCCCTCATCTGGAGTACTGTAGGTGCCTATGCTAATTAAACCACTGCATATCCAGACAGCACTTATCATGGCAAACACTGACTGTCTTTACTGATTGCCTTAATTCAGATGGACCCCTAGAACTTTTTCCACCATAAAAATTAATCCGTTCCTCTTTGTCATCCCCAGAACCCAGACCCCTGTTTTCCAGTTCCCATTTGCAACTGGAATCACACTCCCATCCCCCAGGCAGTGATTAATGGGAGCATCTTTGAAGAGCATCGACCATTGGTTGGGGATTTATTCATCTAAGCAACAATATAAGTTAAGCACAAATACATTAACCCTTGTAAAATTTAAAATTTTAATCGTTGGCATGAGTAAAACCCTCTGTAGAAACTTCGCTTTTGAGTTTTGGCCATTTAATTTCCTCGAAGCACATGTTAGAACCAGTTTAAAATAGAAATCATTTTATAGATTATTTTCAGAACAAAATTTACACACAACAATCTAAGCACATGAGTCTGTATTCATAACAAACACACACAAAGAAAAATATCTCTGTACACTTGATTATAATGCAAAAAACATTTACTTGTTTCCAGTGACACAATTGTGCAAACGAAATTTTCTCTTTTCAAACCGGAGCAGGGGGGAAACAAATGGAAGACCTTACATGTACAATCTTAGATCAGCAGCATTGCATTATCTTTTCATGAGCAACAGGAGGAAAAGCATTTGTGACACAGGGTTTGTCAAGTTCCTGGTTGTTTCAAACATTCGGACAAACGTTTCCCCAAAGAGCTAAAACTCTTTCAGCGAAGACAATTTCTAAAGATGTGCAGCTGTTGTATAGTTCTTCCACTCTGTGGAAAATTGGTAAAAATCTTATCTTTTGGATTTTTGGTTCATTTTTTCCTTCCAAAAACCTGCCTTATGTCCTTTAAATCAGACAAAATGTTAATCCTCAACATTATACCTTTTACCTATTAAGGAATCAAAGAACTATACTTATTAGATCAACGACTAGAACATGATCTCTGCTGTAACTTTTATTGTAGAGAGATGCTTTGGAATGCAAATGGTAGGAAAATTACCCAAAAGGTAAGTAAAGCATTTCAACAGAGTGACAAGACTAATAAGGAAATGTGTTTGGTTCTGCAGCAGGTAGTAAAAAAAATATAAGAGAGAGTAATTGGCAGAGACTGAAATATTATGACCTCATTAGCATAGGGGTAGCAGGTTGGAAAACCAAAGTGCTAGATGTTTTATTACAAGGAGCAAGTCCAGTGTGCTTTTCTTTAAAACATAATGGCCAGAAAGGAACGGTTACAATGATCAGTCAACAGGTTTGTCAGTGTAGTTTTTTTTTTCTCTGGATCTACAGCTATTTAATTGCTGAAGTTATAATGCTACAAATACATTAGAACAAAAAAAACAACAAAAAAACAAAACAAAAACACAATTGTAGTGATGTTTGAATGAAAAAGAGCTAAAAAAAACATATAGCAAACCAGTGTACAGGTTACTGCTCTATTTCCAGAAACTGAGCCAGTAGAAATATAATTCAGATCTAAATATATTAGGATAGACAGGAAACGCAATGCATCTATATATATAAAAAAAATACACAAACCTCACTTTGGGTTTGTTCTGGGAAGACTGGATCTGCCTCATTTAAAGCAACATAAACCACAATAAAATTCAAACCTGTTGTGTTAGAGATGTTTCATCATAAGGTCCTAGGACACAACTATTTCTTTGTCGGTCTCACCCACCTCCTGGGCCGCAAACCAGTCTCTTACTTGCTGGTAGCTCATTCTTGATTTGTTGCATAGTAGGTCAAGGTCTTTTTCGTTTAGTGTGCCTGCTGTGAGGTAATACGATACCAAGGGCTGGATATCAGGAGAATCTGTATTTGCTCTGTTGAGTTTTCGCTTGCGCCTGCCCCCACGAGTGGAGGATCTAGATCCATTCGACAAACCGCTGCTGCTTTGCTGAGCAGCGAGTTCTGCTAAGAACTGCTCACGGACCCCCTTCACCCAGCGTAGTTGGCCATTTTTGACCGCATAGCGCGTGTCGCCGAACCACTGAATAACATCTGCCCTGGGTAGACCTGTGAGCTTGACGAGTTCGGTGTATTCCTCACTAGAGGGCCACTGGCACTTCAGAAAGTGCTGCTTCAACACGTCCAGCTGCTCCTTCGTCTTCCTGGGACGTCCCGCAGGAGTGAGCGCAGGGGATGTAGACGTGGAAGCGCCAGAGAAGCATGTGGGTGTCTGCGAGGGACTGACCTTAGCTGAATGCAATGACTTCTTTGATGTGCGGTTTCTGTGTGAAAAGGTTTTATTAAGGGAGGAGGTGAGCGGGGGAGTGTGAGGCGGGGAGGGGCAGGGGGAAGATTTTAACTCTACAACATCTGGCTCAGTCTTGCTTGTCTTGGTCAACTGCAGCGGTTCTTCTTCGACTTGTTCCTCCTCTTTGAGAGCATCTTCATCTCCAGAAAGCTCTTCAACAACTTCATGCGTTTGTCTCTCATGGAGTTTTTCCCCAAACGCTTCTAAGCTGTTGGACAAAAAAGTCTGGAAGAAATGGGAATTTCTGATCCCGTTGTTCCTGTTTCCCTCGTGGCTTTTCACCCCGTTGACCTGACGAGATTTCGGATTAGTAAGAGAGAGAGGCTGAGTTTCTGGTTCATGTTTACCTCCGACAGAAGCTTGGTGGGAAAGGGTCTGGGCAGCTGCCAGGCTTCCGCGACCAACTCTCAACTGATAACGACTGTCACTGAACCATTTACGAATGTCATTGCGGCTCAGACCCGTTTCCTCCTGCAGGCGTTTCAGCTCCGGCTCGGCGGGCCAATTCTCCCTCAGAAAGCTTTTCCGCAGGGCAGCAAGCTGGGCTTTTGACTTTTTGTAGCGCCCGTGCCGATACTGCTGCCCGGAGGATTCTGAGGGTTCAGGGGAGACGTCAGCTGTTGTCGGCGGCGTGTGAGCTGGTGAGCGGTAGAAATAAGAATCCTGAGGCGGTGGGAGACTAGATGTGAAACAGGGGACTGTAGATCTATGAGAATCAGGGGACTCACATTTCAACTTTTTTGTTTCTGGTAGAAAACCAATAATATCACATTCCTCCTTATCGCTGTGCTTATCCTCAGTTACAAGTTCATCCAAATTTTTACTCTTATTTTTAGAGCTACCCTTGTTTGTTTCATCAGGGTATCCAGAAACCTCTGGCACAGCCAACTTCCTCCTGGTTTCCTCAATTTCTTCTGAAGACCAGCTAATGCCATATTTAATCCTCTGCACCATGAACCACACTTTTACTTTGTCCAGGGGCAACATACAAACCCGAGCCAGCGTGCTAACTTCTTTAGAGGAAGGGTAAGGAAATAAGTTAAAGGCATGGACAAGTTCTTCGATGGAGTCTAGTTCTCGAGTCTGATCCGACTGGGTCCATACCAGTTTGAGCCCCTCTGAGACCAGAGGCAGACACACGACAGAGTTATGGTTGGTGGTGAAACTGGCCACGCCGCTGGTATTGCTTTCCGCTGAGCTGGGAGAGCGCCGCAGTTTTTTGGAAGAGCGTCTTTTTTGGGCCTTTTCTTCACTCTCGATCTCTATTACGTCGACTTCAAAAGGCTCGTCTGGGTCCACAAGAGGTCTGTCTCTGCCATTGCGTTCGTTGTACGACGCCACACCAGCGTATGACGTCACGTCGGCGATTAAAATATGTTCCGCCATCTGGAAGAGAGAAAAAAAACAACCAAAAAAAACAGTGATAAAGTTAATATTTTGCTCCTTTCACAATCTGTCAGCGATAAGATCACAGGGCAAAGAAGGACAATCTGTTCGAGGGAATAAACTGTTTTCAAAACTTTCTGTTCTTCATTTACTCTCAAAGTCAATTCACGGACAACACTCCTCTCTCGTTCTCCTACTTTTTTTTTTTCAAGCTCTCAACAAAACCGTGTCCAGTCCCTCTCCCCTCCCCCAAAAGCGTGGTGAATGACTTTTGTTTTGCGTGAGCTAGAGGGGATCGGTCCTAAAGGGGTGGGAGCACAAGGAATGAAAGTCTACAAGGAATCCACCAGTGTCTGCTTTCTCACCCTGGCTGATCGGCCTTTGTTTCACTTCCAAGTTCTCAGTCCTGAGAGATGAGGCAGCCTCTTCGCAGGGAAAGATACAGCAACAGAAACCTGAAGAAGAAAGATTAGTCAGACACACGTCTACGGCCAGACAGGTCAAACGCATAAACAAGTAGGATTCAATAGTTAATATGAAGAAAAGAAAGATAAATTGTCATTAATCAACAGGTGTTACCTTTCTGCAGTTTTTAGTACAGCTTTTTACACATTAAAACCCCTTTAGAGTTAATTTACTATAAAAAGTTGTCAGGAAATACTTTCCTTAACTTTTTTTTTCCCACCAAAGAAGTGATTTTCTCAGAACAAATGAGGAATATTTAGTCAGAAAGGCTAAATGAGTCACTAAGAAGTAGCTGGAATTGGGCTCATTTGTTTTTTAAGGGAAGAAAACATAGGTCACATATCATGGTGTTAGTCACTGATGAGACATTTAAATCCCACAGGGAGAGAACACCCCCACCCCCCTTCCTCAGTTTCGGTACTTTCAACACACAGAGACTAGTTTATTGGTTCTTATGTTTTATGTGTTTCGATAAAAAGCTGTAAAAGTTGAAGTGTTTCAGAAACAATAGCGGTTCAGTATCTCTCCCCCTGCTTCTTTGTGGCGTACTAACTAAAACGCTTCATTGCTGCACAGGCGCACTTCGTCGCCAGACACGCTTCAGTGAAACATAAAAATAAACTTACCCAAATTGCCGAAATACCCCCAGAATCCTCCTCCGGAGGTTCCGCTCCGACCAAACTCGACTCTATGGACTGTTCCCGGTGGATATATGGCTGAAGTTAGAGGCACCAGGCGAGGAAACAATACCGTCCATCTATCTGGCTGACCCTTGGCTTATTTTTTTTTTTTAACCGACCGCTTCGACGGATTGCGGTCAGGATTCAAAGATCCGAGGCGGACAAGTTTCCCCTTTCGCCGTGGGAGTGGAATCGCTGCTTGATTCTCACCGAAGACGCGAATATGTCGAAGTTGGGAGGTTTAAAAGCTGGTGTTAGAGACGTCGTTTGTTCCTCCCCCTTCACTCGGTCGGTTCGTTTGCTGCTTTTGTTCTGAACTGCCAAGTGTTCCTCCCCCTGTCCGGCCAAAGCGAGGCGAGGCGGAGCTGAGGAAGCCCGGAAGGCCGACATGATGGCTGGGTGGGTGTGCCAGTCTGGCCGAGCTGGCTGTGGATTGGAGGAAGGCAGGATGGTAAATCCCTTAACCCTTTATAGGGCACTCAGTGAAATACTTTGAAAATCAACATTTCAAGCCAATAGTGGTATTGGAATCCAGGACACGACCTTATTAGTAGGGGCGGAGCTAGATGGGGGGCCAGGGGTGGCCATGACCACCCATAAGGCTGATTATACCTCCAAACTAGGTCCTCTGTGTAGGTGTCACAGTGAACTCAAAGACATCCCCGCCCCGACACTCTGCTGCACTTTTCCCAAATTGTAAATGACCGCAGACAGGACGCCGGCTTGTTTTGTTTTTATGACCGCAATTGCAGAAAACGACTCATGAAGATGGACCAGCTAGAAGAGCGAGGTGCACGAGAACGCTGGGACCCTTTTTCCACCTGGATCCCTTGCCCCCACTTCAGGGCTGGTTATACTCCCCACAGCAGTGTGTCGCAGTGAGCTTGACTCAAACATTTTTGATTTATGCTTAATTTTGAGCGTGGTCTGCGCTACGCTGTGAGTCTAGATACAGCCAAGGCAGTGAGGAAGTGGGGGCGAGTTTTGTCCGACAACGGAGGGACATGAGGGCGAAAAAGAGTGAGGATCCAGGTGGAAAAAGGGTCCCAATGTTCTGGCGCGCCTCGATCTTCTAGCTGGTCAAACTTCATAAGTTGTTTCCTCAATTTCAAAAAATAAGTAATGGAGTAAAGTATAGATACCTAAAAAGTGTACTTAAGTACAGTTATGACGTATTTGTACACCTCTGGAATCCAGGACAAGACCTTATTACCTTTGTAACATTCAACAAATATGGATATTTTGATGGCAAAAATTAATGTAAATAATGAATGTCAATGTAATAACAAGAAAGACCAACTTGCCCGAATATATTAAGAAAAATAACAAAAGTGTTTCTATAAAAAATTCATGAGAAACACTCTGAGAGTAAAAAAACATTTTTTTTTCTTTTGGTACAACATAACCTTAGAGGCATTAATGCTGATACTGGCACTTACATTTTTTAGTTTATAAACCTACATATAATTGTTATGAACTTTTTAACATTACTTTTTAACTTTTCATTGAGCTTTTTACCTTTTTCTATTGACTTGTTAACTATTTTTTTCCAACTTCATTTACAGTAGGTGATATATTATTCAAGGGCTCATCTAATTGGTCAAATGCCAAAATAAGATGTACAGCCATGTAGCTGGATCTTTGCTGAATGGCTGGATATAGATCTTGTGCTTCTAGACCTAACCGAGGGACGGGTGGAATGCAATTGATCAAAAACACTAACTTGCCCTATAAAGGGTTAAAGAGATCCAGTGCCAACTGCTCTGCTGGTGGCGTCAGAAAGCTGAAACAGTCCAAGTCTAAAGAGTAACTGCAGTTGGACCAAAAAAAGTATTTAGTCAACCACTGATTGCACAAGTTCTTCTAGTTAGGAAATTAATTTATTTTATTATTTTTGTTTTATTCCTTTAAAACTTAATGTTGTTTTTATACAATTTTGTATGTAACCTGATATGTACAGCACTTTGTGGCTGCTGTGATAGATTAAAAGGGCTTTATAAATAAAGTTGAGTTGAGTAGGAAGATGAGAGAGGCCTGTGATTTTCACCATAAGTACACCTCAAATATAAGAGACAAAATTAGAAAAAAGCAGGTGGTTGTGCATAATCAATTCAATTCACTTTATTTCAATAGCACCAATTCACAACACGTCTTCTCAAGGCACTTCACTAGATCATCCAGTCAAACTGATTCAAAGTTTTCTATCTAAGGAAAACCAGTTGATTGTATCGACTCAAATGCAATCCCTCACACTAAGCATGCTTGTAGCGACAATGGAGAGGAAAAACTGCAACAAAAAAGCAAATGTAAAAGGCGGCCCCGTCCAGGAAACACACAACCAGCCAGACGAGCTCTGAGCCAGCTCCCTTGTCATAGGATGAAGAGAGCACATCCAGCCAGTCACAGTTAGAGAAACAGGACTACACTGGAAAAACAGCCGATCTCCAACATCTATAAACAAAGGTGTTGAGGGCATCAGCACAGCTGAGATTTCTCTCCAGGATGGTGTCCACACCCAACACGAACCGATGAGGTGAAGCTACTATGAGAACATAAAATAAAAATAAATCAACAGTGGGGGCAACTGGAAGGAAATGGAACATATACAACACTTTAAAAAATACCCTCCATCAGGGGCCCCATGCAAGATCTCATCCAATGGGGTCAAAATGATTATAAGAACGATGAGCAAAATTCCCAGGTATAAGCAGAGGGACCTGATGAAGGACCTGCCTTCCCCATCTTAACCGGTGCAGGTCAACTTGTTTTGTTTGGAGGAGGAAGACTGCTGACTTGCATCCCAGGAACCCCATACTTACTGTAAAGCATGGGCTTGTAAACATGAGGTTGACATCCGCATGCAGTGGAGTGCTTTTTGTTCAGTCCTTTACTGCCACTCGGGCAGTGGAGGACTGACTTTATGAAAAGCATCCTGAGTTCCTGGATTTGCCAAGCCAGTCTCCAGACCTCCAACCCATAGAAAACTTACAGAGGGATTTGAAAGTCAGTGTTGCCTAGCGACCGCCCCAAAGCATCACTGCTCTAGTTCTTTTAAGTCAAAGTTTAAAACCCATTTGTTTAGATCTGCCCTTGGCTGTCAATGTTTTAACTGTTAACTGAGGTATAAGTTTAAGTTTGTGGTCCAAATGTTTTATTTCCTTTACCACCTGCTTTTAGCTTTATTTTCTCTTATTTTGCTTTTATTGTACTGTTTCATTCCTGTAAAGCACTTTGAATTGTTTTTGGATTAAATTTTGCTTTAGAAAATTACTTGCCCTGTCTTGCCTTGCCTAGAGGAGATTTGCTTGGACGATCGGTCAAAACACCAGCAAGTGTGTCCAGACCTGAGCTGTATTTCACAAAACCAAGATAACCTGCTCTTGACCAGGCTGACTGCCAGGCTTACTCAAACCTGCTGTCTTATCTGCTCCGCCAGAGGTGACATAGATTTGACACTAATGAATATGTCAGTAATAACAATACCTTTACTGCGTGTTGTGATATTTTTTATATCACCCTACATAAAATAAACACTATACTGCTTTTATATAGTCAAGCGCTTTAATTGTTACACAAGTTAATATGGTAGCCTATACACTGTAAAAAAATAAATCTGAGTAAGTTGTTTTTTTTTCAGAAATTAAGTGATCATTTTCTTATATTGAGCATTTAAGTGCGATACTTTGCAAATGGAATAAAACAATTTACATTTTAAATAAGAAACAAAATGCTAAGTGCATAAAATAAAATTTTCTTATTTTAAGGGTAAAAATTTTCATTCCAGGAAACGTTCATGTCCCAAGTCTGAATTGTATCATTTCAATTCCATTCTAGACTTTTTTTGACAATATTACGTCGAATATGAAATAATATAAGTCCGTTTTTTTTAATAATCTGTATTTATTTAAAGTAATACATGATGAAACCTGTGCAATTAAACATTTGGTATTTGTTATCTCACTGTAGCAAAAGAACTGTTCTTTATCCAACTTCAAATGTCAGACTAAACTGAAAATTGTTTCATCTCCATCCGTCATTCTCTTCTCACATGCAAAATTTTGCATTTTGTTGATTGATTTAAGTTTATGTACTTGGAAAAAAATTAGTAATAATAATTATTGAACTTTATTGATCTCACATTGGAGAAATTTACCTCTGTATTTAACCCATCCACTTGGGGAGCAGTGGGCTGCCATTGTGGGGCGCCCCGGGGAGCAATCAAGGGTTAAAAGGGTCTTGCTCAGACACCCAGAGTGGCAGTCTGTGGGAGTGGGTTTCAAACTCACGTCAGGATTCCAAGCTCTATGCCCTAACCACTAGGACACTACTCCCTATTAATCTTATGAAGCAAAAATGTACTCTTGTGTGCACCTTTTTGTTCAAAATCTTGTTGATTGGCTGTGCTGCAGCTCACACACACAGACTGAGTGAAGATGAGTGAAATGAATAAATGGTGCACACCTTTTGAATAACAGGTATTTAAGACTAGATTTGTGGTAAAAAGAAAGGAACAATTTTCAAGTATCGGGTTCAAAATTTAAGTCCAGGGTTGTAAGCATAAAAGTCCAAGTTAAAAGTCTCCATAAACATTTTTGCAAGTCAAGATTAAATTCATTGAACTATTCACTCATCTTACTTGAGTCCAAGTCATGTGAACCAAGTTCCCACCTCTGTTATTACTAAAAGCCACAAACTGGGTATCACAAGTCTTCCAAAGGAACTAGTGCCATCTCTGACACATTTTAATAGTCATTAAGCAGTTCCTTTCTCATTCTATATGTTATATATTCAACTGCTTTATTTAGCAGCTATTACTTGGTGGTGCTAACGAGACTTGTTGAACTCTGTGTATTTTTGCAAAAATGATCAAAAGCAAGAGATAAACAATCTTTTATTCATTTGCAATACAGTTGAAAAATATAACAGGTAGAAAACAGGCAGAAATGTCAAAATGCTGTCAACTTGTTTGTTAACATGGACTTGTTTTTATGATGTAAAGGCAATGAGATGGCACCGCTGGCTGATGTGTATGAAAATACAGGCAGGAAAACAACACCTCATCCAATGGGAACCACTGTTTGCATATGGAAATATTAAAAATAAACTAAAATGGTATATTAAATTTAAAATCATACTTATTTTCAGCTTCTGGTTGGGTTATAAAGGTTGGCTATGAAATGCAGAGCTAGAAATGGCGGATTTTTTCCTGCTACAAAAGGCTCACTAAGTATGGCTCATAAAACTTCATAACTGACATTCAGGAACTTTAGTTCCTGCTTTAATTTATTACAAATTTAATAGAATAAATGCAAAAGTTAGTGCAAAATTAGTTTTCAATTATTTTTTTTTCTTAAGCTGCACAGCTTCATAGAAAATATCACACTGATGTTACAACACACACTGAGGGGTTAGTTTTGGCTGATATTAGTGTACATGTTAAAACATTCTTCATGTGGACCTTCTTTATTGCGTCTCCCCTTCTGTATGATAATCTAAAAGTCCCATCTTCATAAAACAGTCAAGAGCTTATTCATTTAGTTAATTAGCAATGGTTAGGATAGTATAACTGGTTTATAGAATAGTGGTTTGGGGATTGATGGAGGGGAACTTTTAGAAGCGACCGTTAGCCAGCGTGAGCACAAAGCGAGGCAGGTGAAGAAATGACGGGACGACTGCTGAGAGCCAGGAGAGGTACGGGACCTGGCTCAGGAGGAATTTAAGGGAAGTGAAATCCAGTACATCCCGCCCTGGAAAAAAAAAAAAAAAATCATATTTAATGGTAAGAGCTTACTTCATTAGAATACATTTTTGAAGGTAGAATCTGATTCTGTACCCTGCTGCAGTCTGGTTGTAAAGCATCTAAATGTAAAAGACACTTTACTCTGT